GGCAAGCTCTTGATACAGGTGTAATAGAAAGAATCAGGGGTAAAATTACCAATTTAAATTACATCAGTTGGTCATTCATCTTTTCACATCCATCCAAAGAGAGTTTGCCAAGGTGAACAGGCTACCACCTGCTCCCCTACCATCTAGTGGTAAGTCACAATAATAGCTACTGATTGTGTGAGCTCCCTCAGGACAGCTGCTTGTGTGTGTATATTCCTGGTCCCAGTATAATCTATACTGGTATACCCAGTCAGAATACCTCCAGCCCTTGACATGGTGAGGAATGCCATCAAGCAGATGAACGACAAGACATCTGGTGCTAATGGAATCCCTGCCGAACTCGTCAAGCAGTGGGGAGAAAAGCTCATATCACAGATTCATGCCCTCATTTTAAGGATTTGGAATAATAAGGAAATACCAGATGACCTCAGGGATGCCATGATTGTGACAGTCTTCAAGAAAGGAAACAAGTCCAACTGTGGAAATTACAGAGGGAACGCCTTGCTGTCCACCACATCAAAGATCATTGCGAGAACCCTCCTAGAACCATCTCCTTCCACTTGCTGAAGAGCTCCTCCTGGAATCTCAATGTGGGTTTAGGGCATCCAGAGGCACAACATGCATGATCTTCACAGCTTGCCAGCTGCAGGAAAAATGCTGGAAACAACATAAACCTCTCAACATGGCTGCCTTTGACCGTACAAAAGCTTTAGACTCTATCAACTGAGAAGCACTGTGGAGATTCCTTCTAAAGTCCAAATGCCCACCAAAATTTGTCACCATTCTCTGCCTGTATGTGAGTGGTGGTTTTCTGTAATGGATCTGTCACAGATCCCTATGAGGCTAAGACAGAAGTTAAGCATGGGTGTGTCATCACACCAACACTCTTGTCGATATTCCTTGCTGTAATGCTACATCTGAACAACAACAAGCTTCCAGCCAGAGTGGACCTAAACTACCAAATGAATGGTAAGCTGTTTCATTTCAGCCACCTCTAAGCCAGAACCAAGACCACCCTGACATCAATCATAGAGCTTCAGGATGCTGATGTTGCTGTAGTCTGGGCTCACTCAGAAGTAGACCTTTAGACAATCATCACCTTCTTTACTGAGGTATGCAGGAAAATAGGATTGATGCTTAAAGTTCAGAAGACTAAGTTCAATAAGCTCTTAATGAGCAGTCCCCAGCTCTGGTAATTCAGATTCATGGTGAGACTCTGGAGAATGTTGAGTGTTTCCCATACCTTGGAAGCCATCTCTCAGAGAAGACTGATGTTGATGAAGACATCCAGCATTGCCTCAAATGTGCATGTGCAGCCTTCGGATTCCTGAGGAAATGGATGTTCTGAGACCACAGTATCAGATCAGATACCAAGCTAATGGTTTATCAAACAGTTGTGATCCCCACCTTACTGTATGGAGCTGAGACGTGGACAGCATACTGGAGATGCCTCAAGGCATTGGAGAAGTACCGTCAATGCTGCCTGCAGAAGATCCTTCAAATCCATTGGAAAGATAGACACATCAGCATTAGCATCCTCTTGCAAGCACATACCACGAGCATTGAGGCAATGATCATCCAACATCAACTTTGCTAGGCCAGCCACATCATCTAGATGTCCAACCACAGTCTTCTTAAGCAAGTCTTGTTCTCCCAGCTCAGTCAAGGTGTATGCTCAAGAAGAGAGCAGAGAAAGCATTTCAAGTATGTCCTGAAGGCCAGCTTGGAAAAATGCAACATTGACATCAGTGCATGGGAGACTATTGCCCGAGACCACCCAAACTGGAGGAAGAGTCTGATGCAAGGATCTCAGTACTCTGGAACCTTACAATGATAGCAGGAGATGGAAAGATGGGAGTAGCAGAAACAGCCTGTTGTGGACCGAATCAAGAATCCTGAACCACATACTCCAAATGGAACCATGTGCCCGAGTTGCAGCAGAGTCTGTTGATCCTAGATTGACCTTGTTAGCCATCTTCAGACCCACAGATAAGACAGTCATGGAAGATGAATCATCCTTGACTGTGAGTGATTGCCAAAGAGAGAATTTATATTGGTATACAAAACTGATGTAAATTGCATTGGGATATGTGTTCAGTTGTCCATGTTCTCAATCTAATTAAAGCTTCAGAGGATGAAAATAACATCTGCAGCTAAGCCAAGAGAGCACAGAGACACTAGGGCTGCACCCAAACAAGTCTAGACGTTTGGTTCCCTGGGACAAGTAACAGTGGCACACCTTGCACTGCCACTGCTTGTCCCTGGGGAATGCTGATGTCACATGTAATGGTACTGCAGGTTACCCCAGGTGGGGTAGGCGAGGCTGGGGCCAGCACTGGATTGGCCCCAGAGCCTTACCTGGGGTCCTGAGGGCTTCCCGGGGCTGCAACAGCTGTACAGAGCCTAGCTCCACTTTTGAGTGGTGTGCACAGCCTAGTAGGGCAACAAACCCTGCAGTTGGTGCACAGTGTTTCTACTCAAGGATGAACCCTAATCTAACCCGGAAATATTTATTAACAAATGTGAAACTGGTTTACTTCATAATTATATCTATAATGTTTCCAAGTATTTGGTAATCAAATAATCTTTTCTTATTATTAAGCAGGTCATCGCAAAGAGGGGACAGTAACATTCTAGCAGAATTATCAGCTTTTCAGATTTTCAGACTGCATTTTTCTATTTTTTTCTGTACCTCATTGCATATTTTACACCACTTTCTTGGCAGTGTTATAAAGATCTATCAGAATGTGGCCCGCTGTAATTGTATTTGGAACAATTTTGTAACATTGAGAATTTATAATACTGTGATGACATAAATACCACATTTTTACCTTTACAATAAGAATCCTTAAACAATCAACTTTTTAAAGAAAAAGCAAATTTTCAGATAACATGTAAGGTTGAACAAAGCTTAATGAATGGACTAAGGAAAGGTCCGTAGTTTTCTGAGTTCAGTCTTTTTGTATCTAGCTTTACGAGTGATGAAAGCCTAAACCATTGATTTTCATATTAAAAATGAATAGTCTTTAAAATATGTCCTTAGAACAAGTTAGATGAAACAGTTGTGCAAATCAAAGGGGAAATTATAGGATAAATTTTCAGCACACTGCATAGGGAATTAAGAGACAGAACTACCTGAGTTGCATGATTAATTTATTGTACACCAGGTTGAAAATGGATCCTTGTCATTATATTAGAAATTTGATATCAGAAATGTTAAATGTAAAAAAGCATGCTGGCCTTTGACAGCTGCATAAAATCTGTTTTTGCCCATGCTCTTAGACTCATCAGGAGAAGCAAAGCAGACTCGTCCGCCAGTTTCATTTTCATGGATGGCCTGAAATTGGAATTCCAGCTGAAGGAAAAGGAATGATTGACCTTATTGCAGCTGTCCAAAAACAGCAGCAGCAGACAGGAAACCATCCAATTACTGTGCATTGCAGGTAAGACTCATTTCTTACCCTTTTACTTTTTTAGCCATTCTTAAGATTTCCTAGCTATATAAAATGCTCCATCTTCCCTGTTCTCCAGCGCTGTGATGAGTACAGTAGTGTTCTTTTATATGGGGCTAAACAGTATAAAAATCCTGGGTTTTTTTTCCATGTATTAAATACCAAAAATTAATCACTACTAAAATCTATAAACAGCACAAACCATGCCTCTTAAGGCTTGCTGTCCTGGTGGTCAGAGAATATATTCAGTAGTGGCCAACCTTTTTGTTAAGCCATGCCACTCTGATCCTCCGTGTCCCAGAGGTGTATCTGATAGAGTTTGTACCCTGGAGTGCTGGAATGGAGATAGGGGCTTGAGACTCCAGCTGTGTAGAAATGTCACTGCCAAGAACCAAGCTAACTTTTCGCTGGCCCCACAACCACCACACATAAGTGAGAATCCAAAGCTGTGAATGCAGTGGCTGTAAGGCCTGGGACTCTTGGTAATGACTCCCAGCACCACCTCTCACAGCAGCATCCTGCCCTTGCTGTGTCCTGGGTGGCTGGAGGCTCAAGTCCCCTGCTCCTATTCTTGCACCTACTTTTACTGAGGTTGCAGGCCATAAATAACAACTATCTCTGCTACTTGTGCCACACATGCCACAGGTTGGCCACTTCTGCTCTACATGCAAGAGGAATACCTATATTGCTCTGGTCTGCTCTTGAGCCTGAGCTTCATTAACTCTTGTCAGTGGGAGAAAGTATAGAGTTTGTGTAATTGTAATGATTTCTAAAAATGTATATTGTAGTAGTCTCTAAAGGCTATACTTTGCTCAAAATGTTATTGTACTATGAACTCTATCAATACGGAAAGTTCCTGCCATTAAAAGAAATCTAGAGACAAAACAGACAAATGAATTTAATGCAAAGGAAGGAGGAAGACTCAGGGAGACAAGGATAACAATGATAAAATTGCACTGTCAGACAGCTAATGTATTGAATGTGATTACAGTGATCCCCTGCCAAATTTCATTGCATTTTTTTCTTTTTGAAACCTATGTCTGTTTCTATTTTAAAATGAACCAGGCAGTATTTAAAGATATTTATATTATTATTTGTATTTTCCCAGACGTTCCCACTGTTATATTTTACAGGTTTTTAAAATCTCTGTTCTGTTTTTTCTTTTTTGTTTTAATTCTGTTTTTGCTAGTTGCCAATTTTTATACAGTTTTTTTACAGTATATATTTGCTCATTCCAAAACATCCGGGAATGTCTCCTTGCCAAAAAAGAGGCTTACTCCCAAGGGAAAGGAGGGGTCATCACTAAGGAGGACTATTCTGCAGTTGCTCGGGGATGTAGGGGGATGGTTAGGAAGGCCAAGGCAGAGATGGAACAGGGGCTGGCTTCCCGGATTAAGGACAACAAGAAGTCCTTTTTTAAATACATAGGGAG